GCCGGCTGCCGTAAGCTGGGCCTCCCTCGCTGCAATCAAGGGGAGGTTTTGAGGGGCAGCTCCTGCTTGTGGGGCGCCTGTCCCCGGAGGCTGCTGCTGGGGCAGGGGCTGCACCCGCCTGCCTGGGCCCCGGGCAGGGGAACTGATCGAGCTGTGAAGCCCGGAGCTGGCTAATGAGACCGGGACTATGGATTTTACATCAAGTGGAAGCGACGTCAGGGAAATGGACTTGTCTCTGGTGTACGGGCCCGCTCGGGGCCAGGTAGCGGCTGGCGGGGGGTGCCAAGTTGGGGGATGCAGGCCGATGCGGTCACGTGGGGCGTTGCCTGCTGAGGCGTGGGGCTGCGGGGGCCGCGCAGGCCTTGGGGTCAGAGCAGCGGGGCTCTGGAGCTCCTTCGTTTCCTAGCGAAGCCTTGGGGCTTTCCACAGGCGAGGTGGGAGTGTACGCTGCTGGGCTGAGCCACAGGGCATCCCTGGTGGGGTGGCTCCGTCGAGCCCCGTGCCCGGGACAGGGTGTGTGTGTGCTCCCGGCCTGTTGGACTCAGCTCTCTGGGCTTTCCTGAGAGCACCGCGACTTGCCAGCTGCCTGCTACAGGGCCCCGGAGGGTGAAGCCCGCGTCCTGGGCGGGCGGGTTTGTGGATAGAGCTGCAGGGCAGCAGGACTTGGAGATGCGTGCGCTGTGAGGTGTAGCCACGCACGGGTGAGCCTGGGGCTGGTGTGCCCAATGCTGCCTGGGTGTCCCGGGGCTGTGGCAGCGGCTTGTGGTTTGGGCTGCGCAGGGGGGATCGCTGTTGTCTTTGGCCCAGTGTTTCCGTGGGTGTTTCTGCATGCTGGTGGCTGACAGCAACCGAGTCCGGGGCATTGCTGCGGAGCCTGCGGTGCTTGGGGGATGCCCGGGCCCGGGGCGCCAGCAGCTTCCATGCGTCTCCTGCGCCGGGCAGGGCTCAGCCCAGTTCTGGGGGCGGGAAGCTTGTGCAGGTGCTGCTGGCTCGGCCGGGCTGCGGAGGTTTTCCCAGTGCAGGTGGACCGTGGTGGGTGGCTCCGCTGCTTGGCCCATGCCCTGCTGCCTGCGTTGGGCGTTTGGCCCTGAGGCTTCCTCACGCTGGCTCCACCATGGGAGAGGTGCTGCCCATCAGAGTCCTCTGGCATGAGCTGCTGCCGGGGTCCCCGCTGCCCCCTGCGTGGCAGTGTCTGGTCAGTGGTTGGCACTGGCTCGGCGGCGTGCTCCCCTCTGCAACAGCCTCCTGCTTCACGGCCAGAGGACCACGGCGAGTGCAGGGGGCAGGAAGAGCTCCCCTGCTGCCGAGGCCTGTGCAGGTTCCCTGGGGGGGCTGGGGACGGTGAAGAGCAGGCATGACCAACGTGTGCCCAGGCCGGCATGGGTGGCGGGGCTGGAGAGATGGCCCGCAGAGCCCTGCCAGCCTCAACGTGTGGAGAACAGGCAGGGCGCTCCTTGGTCCCTCCAGGCCGGCGCAGCCTCGCAGTGGCATCCTGCATCCTGCCTGCTACCTGCGCGGGTCTCCGGGGACGTGGGTCGCATGGGGGGCACCCCGGGGAGCTGTAGCCTGGGTGCAGGGCTGGCTCCGGGAAGCCCTTCCCGCTCCGGCTCGGAGCCACACGTGTCCCTTTAAGGGGGCAGGGTCAGGCCGAGGCGACGTGCTTCGGCAAAACAAAACAGAGCCGAGCTGCCAGGCTGACGCGCTCGCTGGCTCCGGCTCGGCTCGCTCGGGGCGTGCAGCTTGCTTCCTGTTGTCACCGCTCCGCCGCTCACCCGAGCCCTGGGCCCAGCCCCAGCCGCCTCGAGCTGCTTCCGGGCCAGGCGGGCCCCGCCCCCACCCCGCCCCGCCCCGTGAGTCCAGCCCACGCTCCCTGCCATGGCTCCCCGGCGCTGCGAGGGCCTAGAGGAGTGAGTAGGAAGGAAGAGTTCTTCCGTGCCCGTGCGCTGGGCTTGGGGGCCCTGCGGGCTGGGAGAGGCGGGTGGGGGGTTAGCCCCGCGGGGCTCGGGGCAGGGTGCGGGAGCACGAGAGCGGCCCGCAGCACCGTGCAGAGGCCGCGGAGGGGGGCCCTGCA